AATGCCATTGGGTTCATTCCAATCTAAGTGACCTGATTGCTACCTGGGGCCATGATGTCATTGGGGCCTGGGTTGCTGCCGGGGGCCATGTATGGGTCCACAGTCCTGCTGCAGCTTTGGTTTGTGTTGATGTGCTTGTCTCCTGTTACAACCAAGAGCAGTGAGGATGAGGCTGCACAAAGTTGCCCCTGCCAAACACCAACCGCACCACTCTGGAAAGCGGGCCCTGTACCTCCCCAGGGATGAACAGTAGAGCTGTCTCTGCTTGCAGGGGTATGGGTGAGCAGGCCCTGAGTATGCACAGTGGGAGAGCTAGCCCCACAGTCTGTCTGTCACTCAGTGGCACAGGCAAGGGAGAGATACCTCACTTACTCCTCACCCCTCACCCCTTGCCACCTAAAGCAGGCTGGAAAAGCTGGTCCCTGTTGAGGTCATGGCAGTGAAAGCTGAAGCACTCAGAAGTGTGGGTCCTGCACCTAGCCAGGGAAGCATAGTCGAGCTGACCCCAGTGCTTGTGGGAGATCTGGCCCCACCCTTCATCTACCATATAGTGGAGGGGATCAAGGAGAGATGACATCCCCCACCCCTACCTGTAGCTGCCTGCGGCAGGTGAGAGAACTAACCCTGAAGTTATGAGAGGGAGAGAATTGGCACTGTCCCACACCAGGAAGCCACACTTGAGAGAGCAGTCCCTGCAACTCACCTGGGCAGCACAAGAGGGCTGACCCTGTTGATGGGATACAGGTGAGCAGGCTTGGGGTCATGTGAGCAGGAGGACTGATCCCACCCCCTCATCTGATACATGGTAGCATGGGTGAGGATAACCATCTTCCCTCCCTTCACATCTTGCCACCTGAGGCAGGTGAGAGAGCTGGCTCCAGGACCACACCAGTGGGAGAACTGGCCCTGCCCAGCAGCAGCAGAGCACCTGGGAGAGTAGCATGGCATCTCACCAGGGCAGCACACCAGAGCTGACACTGTTGGTGGGGCTCAGATGAGCCAGGCCTGTAGGCATGAGAGCAGGAGAGCTGCCCCCACCCCCTCCCTGGTATGGCATGGGATGGCAAGGGTAAAGGGAATATGCCCTTCCCTTGGCCCCTTGCCACCCATGACAGGCAGAAGAGCCAACCTCAGGAACAGGAAAACAGAAGAGCTGGTCCTGCTCCTCCTCACCAAGTGCAATAATATGGAGAACATGCCCTGCACCTCGCCTGGGCAAAACAGTAGAGCTGACCCTGGTACTATGAGGGTGTAAGAGCAGGAGAACTGCCCTGCTCCATGTTGTCTGTGACATTGGTGGAGCTAGCCAGAGCAGTGCTGGAGAGCTCACCTGGGTGATGATGAGAGAAAGCTGGCAGCATGACCAACCCAGCTACCGTCCAGGCACAGAACAACAACTACCACCCCAACACCCACCTCACCTATGAACTGCTGGGACATGTGAAGGAGACATATAGATCCAAAGCTACAGAATCTCCAGGACACAAGGCAACAACAGAACATCCAAGAGGAGTCCACTGAGGGCCCAGTATTGATGGTGTAGCAGAAGCCAGAGGCCTCGAACCAGACCAGTGAATGACCCTGAAATAAAAGCTAACAAGTAAAGATATATGGACTAAAGGGAATACTGTGTGACTCATTGGGCCACACTACAGCTTCCATGCAGAGATTTTTTTTCCATTGGTTTGGGGGGTTTGGTTTTACTTTTAAATTTTGTTTTGTGGGGAGGTTACAAAGGCAGAGGGTGGAAATGAGGGGAGAGGGAGATGAGAGTAGGATTGGGTTGCATGTGAAATCTACAAAAAATAAACAAAATGTTTTTTTCAGTTCAATTATTTTGATCACAGTGCTCCTACAACTCACATCTCTTACAGCAGAGCAGTGTCAGTGCTCTCCCCACATGGAATCTCACAGTAACGAGAAGTGATGATTCCCCATGGCCAGCCGCAAAATCACCTGGGATACAATAATCCTAACTGCCATTAGGGTAACACAAGAGCAGGTGTCCTGTGAGTACCAAGTCAAGCTCTTCTGAGCTGATTTGCATATTGAGACATTAGCCACAGTGCAGATTCCTCAAACCATCTTTAAAAGCAGCTTGCCAGTGCCTAAGAAGCAGACTTTATTTCAGATATAAGAGATGGGGTCAGCTGCTATACTGCTGTGGGTGCTGCTGCTCTGGGTTCCAGGTGAGAGGATGCAGTGCTGGGAGTATCCATTGTGGCCACCATTGTTTTTTATGCTTTGCTGTCATGATCATTGAAATTATGGCATTTCATTACATTTATTTTTCTCTTTTATGTTATAGCTCCTCAGAATGTAGGTCATGATTGCTGCTACAAATTCCTCATGCATGATAGTTTTACACTGGCCAGCTTTCAATATCGCCTTGATTCTCATCTGAATCTCTGTGTTCATAACCAACATGTCCAATCTCAGTCTGGGATTCATAATCTGTGCTTTTCTCCATGTCCTATAGTCATGTTGTTGTCTACCACATGTCTATACACACTCTCTCTTTTTGCTTGTTTTCCTTTATAATTCCATTTTTCCTATCTCTTTGGGGGTTGGGGGAGGAATTAAGTTCTCACTGTATATCCAGCGCTGACCTGGAAGTCACTATGTAGTGCCCACTGACCCTCAACATCCAACCCGCCTGCCTCTTCCCTCTGACTGCTGGGTCACGGCACCATGCCCAGATCCATTTCATTACCACTGCATGTGCATGAAATCTTGAGGACCAAGAGTGCACAGCCATGGTCATGGAAGACTCATTTCCAGACACATCTTCTTCTACATAATGCCTACACTGTGCTTCTGCATCCTCCCCAGGTGGAGCAGGAATGCTCAACAGAATAATCCTTGGCAACATTTCTCAGACGCACATCTCCTGAGGTTTTCAAGTTTACAGTCCTACATCACAATATACCAACACTCTTGCTTTAGTTTCCAATTGCTGCACAACAGCTAATGAAAACTCAGTGACTTGAGACCCCAACACCTGTAATCTGGGCAGGGTATGTCTGGATCTTCTCCTCGGGCTCTCATAGGCTACAGTAAAGGAGTTGTCAGGGCTGCATTTTCATCTGCGTACTCAAAGCATCTCCTTCCCAGCTCAGTCAACATGTTTACACAGACACTGTGTGGCTGGGTGTGCTGCACCTTTACTGACCTTGGGCTAGAGGCTTTTCTAAGGTCCTGCAGGCACTGAGAGTTCCCTAATATGTGGATTCTCAGTTATCACACCAGCGAAGGGTCCACAGCAGAGAGAAAACAGCTCCTCTTTAATTGATTTGATCTCATTAAGTCAAGCATACCCAGGTAGGTCAATCTCTGCTTAAATGAACCCTGAAAACTCAGAATTTGTATATTTATTACATCTACAAAATCTCGCAAAAGAAGATAGCCTCAAACCTGGTCACAGGCCAGATGCAATTGCCCCAGAGTCAGCATTATGCTCTCTGGGTCTCAGGAGTCACTTGGAGCAGAGAAAATTGGGCTGATCTAGACTTTTCCTGAACCTCCTGAAAATGTAGTCACCTGAAGGAAACATTCTGGGATCTGTGGCTACTTCATTGAAACTCCTATATGTCACTACAGAAAAATAACTATTTTTATGTGTCTTTGGCAATGAGGAAGGCAAGGAAGTGGCTGGGTGCTGAGTGGTACCCAGAATTCTACATCTGCTCTGAGTGGACACATCTATTCTCACTGATGTGTACCTGTGCCATGCCACAGGAGCAGCAGGTGGCAATTTAACTTCAGAAGATTGACCCACCAGATAACAAAGCACTGATGGAAGAAACTTGCACAGGCAAGGCATTGAGGGCTTCGGCTCTAGAATGTCTCTTGCTACTGCTGTGCCTTTACATGTTTCCTGTTGCCATTTTTCTCTGGTATCAGCAATGATGTGGATGGGCGTGGGAGAATTCACGCTGCCTTTAATGAAGTGTGACTATCTCATGGAAATTTCACATTCTACGGGTAGTTTTACCTATGGATTATTATGAAGATGATTTCCTCTTAAACTGTACTGTTTAACTGGAGTAATGATTTTATACAATAATAGTGTTAGTTTAAATAGAATTTTGATGATTTAGGGTTTTTAACAAATACAGTAAGGGACTATGATAGAGGTTAGTTTTGTGGGAAAATTAATATCGATAAAGGTAGGAATAGTGTTGCCCTCATTCCTGATAAAGCAAGGGCTGCAAATGGTAGAAAATAGGAACAAGGAAAAGTTATGCACCCTGAACTTATGAGATTCTCTAAGGGACCATATAGATTGTGGCTTAGGTTAATGATTATAGAAAACAATTGTGTCCCAGAAACTAGGCTTTCTCAATTTTTTTATCTCAAAGTTGGCTGATGTATTCACATGTTTAGGCATGCATCATAGCTAAAATAAAGCTTTAAATCATGATGTAAGGTTAGGTTAATGGCTTTGAGGTAGAAAATCTAGGGAAACAATTTAAAGTTCAGAAAGGCATAGTTTTACTAGTTGAGTGAGGGACTCATTGAGGCCAGTGAACAAAATCAGTGACAGAATTGCTATTGCTGGCTTGCTAGGATGGGTTGATGATCAGAAGTGATGATTAAATCCTTGTCATTTCTGTCTTCTGCTTCCTGATTTGATGAATGCATATGAAAGTTTCGATTTGTGATTCTTTTAAGATTTTCATAAGATTACATTTTGAGATAAATAATGAAGTGATGGATCCTTTCCTTGTAACTGGAAAATGCAGCCTGCCAGTAAAGAAGTAGCTGAGAAAAATACTTTGCTTGCTTCACCCTGTTATTCTATTGCAAAATACCTGTACACAAATGTATGTAGGTTCTTGGGAATAACTTGTTTTCCACCTGTAATGCATAGAATGTTTAATCATGTTATGGTAATGGGAACCATGTTGTTTTTCACTTGTCTTCATTGTAATCTTCACTTAAAAAATAGAACATAACCAGAGTGTGCCACAGTCGCCATCACAGCAGCCACCATCTCTATGACCAGCATCAGGGAGGCTTGCACTGACATGAATCGAGAATATGACCAATGCTTTAACTGCTGGTTTGCAGAGAAGTTCCTCAAAGGGGCCAGCTCCAGTGATACGTGCACTGACCTTTTCAAACATTACCAACTATGTGTCCAGAAAGCAATAAAGGAGAAAGAGATTCCTATAGCCGGACTGGAGTTCAAGGGCCATGGCAAAGAAAAGCCTGAAAACTCCTCTTGGCCTGTCTGTCACTTGGAAGATGTCAGAAAATTGAGAGGCGTCTGGATTTTGTCAGCTAAGGCTGTGAAGCTAGCCAAGAGGTTTGAGGAGTTTAAAAGGAGAGTTTTGTGTCTTCCTTTTTGGTATTCTCCTATCATTTCTAAAAGAACAGCTGTCACCCTTGAGTTGAGACAGTTACATTTGCACGCATCTTGCAAGAATTCCATGTGCTTCTTGGGGATTTGGTTACAACAAGGGGTTTGGAATCAGCTTTAACTAATCTTGGATGCAAATAATGATAAACTGGCCATGATCAAGGTTGCTGCAGAGGAACTATATGGTCATCATTTTTCATGAGCACACTGGCTCAGGTGTCACATCCACCCTTGATCAGCAAGAAGGATGCAACACCGAGGAACCTTCTTCTCACAGTTTATTCAGGAACCTTGATTTACAGAGAAAGGTAGCCCCGGGTAAAGGAAGACAGGGCCTGATATAGTCTACATCTACCAATCACCTAACCCTACATGGTGCACCAGGATAGGTTGTCTCCAAGCAGAATTAAGAGGATACATGACCTTTACCAAATTAGGAGTTGTTTACCACAGAGAGCACTCGCCATCGGGCTGGCGGAAGGTGGAAACCGGTGACATCTTTTGGATGCAGTACTTTGTAGCTCCCAACAGTCCCCCCTTTTTGTTTTAATATTATAGGAGTAGCAGTATCTATCTGTTGTCAGATTTCGGTCATCTCTGTCTTAGGTTCAACCCCAGTGTCCCTATCTTACCCATCAAAGAGTCACTGTGTCGCCCTCACAGGCTCATGTCTTAGGTTGAAGGGAACACACGTATGCTTATTCACTCAGCAAGAGGGTAGGTGCCCGTCATTGAGCATGACTGATTCAGATACGCATCACTCACTCAGCAAGGGTGAGACAGACATCTATTTGTCTGTCAGCATGGATAACCATGCTTGAGGGGAATTGTCCTGCTTCCAAAGCAGCAAAGTCCTGTACCAACATGAATGGTGGCCCTGGGTAAAGGAAGACGGGGCCTGATATAGTCTACATCTACCAATCACCTAACCCTACGTGGTGTGCCAGGATAGGTTGTCTCCAAGCAGAATTAAGAGGATACATGACCTTTACCAAATTAGGAGTTGTTTACCACAGAGAGCACTCGCCATCGGGCTGGCGGAAGG